AGAAAGTAAGGGCATTTGTCTGCGCCCTTCATACGCCTTCGACCTTAGAGAACATCGACTTGAGCAAGCGCGAGGTTTCCACGAACCCACACTTTCCACTAGGCACCCTATCGTACTTTCCTAGGGCATCACCGCTATTCTCAACTTGACCGGGCTTTCTTACATGGAGCTGTGGCTACATGTACTGCCCGTCCCGAGTTTCATCTTAAGCGATATCAACAAAGTTTCTGAGCGCATCACCAGAGCAAGCTTCAGACTTCCACCCGTGCCCCAAAGCCAATTTGGCAGAAGCAACTTCATATTCTACCAAATATGTCGGTAGGCGGAATCACCTATGATGGAGTGCCCGGCGCCAGCGGCATTCTCTTCAAAGATCTGAAGTTCTTTGTTTCACTTCGCGTGCCCGACAGGGTGAAACTCCTGGAGCTTATCAAGGTAGGCAATCACTTTCAACACCCCAGGGTTTGTATAAGCTGACTGATGTAGGAAAACGGCGGCACCATCGCCAAGTTGGAAACCCAGGCGGACCACTATATCACTTTTGACAACGGGCCTACCCCAGCAGGATCGCTCGATTGGAAGTTTATCAGACATTCCGTCGACAACGGCGCGTTACAAGAAACGGATAAGTACGAGATGCATCAGACACCCAGAGCTTCGCGGCCTGTTGGTGGTTCACGCCCTGTTGGCGGCTCCCGTCCCGCAGCCAAGGCCAACTCTGCCCCTGCTAAAGGAACCCGCACACCGTTCAGCACCGCCGACGATGCGAGTCTCTCCAAATGGGTGCTTTCTCATGCGGCAAATAAAAAAAGCGGCAATGAGATCTATCAGGTATTTGAGACGATAGTGAGTTCAAGTTTCGAGGCATACCTCTTTTGACTATCACTAACGGCCCGTAGAACAATCGTCATACCTGGCAATCTTGGAGGGATCGATGGGTGAAGAAGCTTTCCAAGCTGCCTCCGGTCGAACTCGAAAAACTGGCTGCTGCTGCTCCAGAGATGGCATTGCCGCTGCCACCGGCAGCCGCGACTTCTTCCAAACGACCTGAGGCTACTCGACCAGCGGCGAAGAAGGCGCCTCCTCCGGCTGCCCAAACTGTCTCGCAACTGCCTCCGGCGAAGGCTGCGGCGAAACCGAGGACGGAATCGAGCTCCGCCACCCATCAGCCAGACGTCAAAGCGCCAGTGACTCCAGCGAAGAGAACCAAGTTCACAGGGGCAGAGGACGACCTGTTGATACGCGAGGCAGGCAGATTTGGCGGTACACCCGACACCAAATTTTTCAAGAAGTTCTCAGAAAAGGTGCGTCTAGTCCTCACAGTAATGATGCCGGTACTAGACTGAACCTGCGTAGCATTCCAGTCATTCAGAGGGTGCGTGGAGACGGCACTGGACACAGATATTGGAGCCGCGACTTCGTGAGAGCTCTAAGGAAAGCCTTGAGGAGAGCGGATCCTTGCCTGAAAGCCCCCCTACGGTCGACAGAAAGACCCGACCGGACACAGCTTCCAGCGGCAAGCCAAGTCGACATGGCGAGAGTCCACATGACAAGAGGCCAAAAGAGTCGACTGGCCGCTCTAAGGAGATTCCAGCACCAGAGGTCGCTCCATCTGGTGCGAGCCCCATGAGAAAGAAAGACGAGGCGGAACAGGTGCTGGAGTCAAGAGTCAAAGAGCCCACAGCTGTTACAAGAGAGAAATTCTACGGCGATTTGGGGGGCTACCGTATTCACAACAATCTCGACACTCAAATTAACCCCGAAATCAATGATCAGCCTATTGACTTGTGGCGATTATGGCAAGCTGTTGGAGACCAGTACCAGAAAGGTGCGGTCGAGCCCGACTGGGCAGCAGTTGCAGATGGGCTGGGCTTCCACGTTGAAGATGCCCAGCTGATACAACAATGCTATGCAGACTACGTCGCCCACTTTGCCACCTGCGGCATCTTGGACGAACCTGACGTAGAATCGTCAGAGGATGATGAGGTTTCACAGCCTGATGACGAAGACGCCGTACCGGACGTGCCGCTAGAACCTTTACAGACACAACGAGCGGTCACCCCGGTTGCTTCTAGGAAGAGGCAAGCAATTACTGTCGAGGCGTCTGGTTTTCCATCGACACCAAACAGCAGGAAGAAGCGACAGCGTCTAGGCCCAGACGACGAGATCCCATCGACTCCCGATGACAAGCTAGGTCTTGCAAGCTTCAAAAACCTTGGCCCTAGCCCCTCGCTTAGCGTGAAACGCTGGACGGCCAGCGAGGAGCAAGTAGAGGTTGCCGAAGAGATGGCTGTAGAGGAAGAGCCTCGACAGGATCCAGCTGGCAAGCCCCGTCGTTTGGAGCCCGAAACACAGGACTTTGGCTTCGATGATGCCTTCAACGCCCCTGATAAATCGCAAGACAGCATCGAGTTTGACATATCACCATCACAACAGCTTTTGGGCGAGGAAGAGTCTGTAATTCCTTTGCCTTTGTCTTTCAAGAGAGATAAGGGGAAGGGGGTCGACCGGGACCAGTCACCCACTCCTGCACAAGTTCAAGAGTCGCCCGCCAAGGAGGGAGAGGAAGAGGAAGGGGAAGAGGAAGAAGAAAAAGAAGAATCAGACGAAGCCCCGAAGGAAGCCGCAGATCAAGCCATGGTCGATTCTCAAGAGTCAACAGATAAGACTGTTGAGCTCGAGGACCTCATGAACCGGTTCGTCTCGTTTGGCTACCCGCGCGAGGATATCGTCTTGGCGCTGATGGCTACTTCGCTGTGCACACCGCTAGCTACGAGCCTGGTGAAGTACTTGAAGGAGCACAAGGACCTCCCCAATAATTGGCAGGGAGTATGGACGGCTAATGATGACAAGCGGTTGAAGCGTATCGACGCTGCTGGCTCAGAGGACGGCCCGGATGGGGCCAAGATCCAGAGATACTGGGATTACCTGGAGTCGAAGCACACACGGATTCGGATCGCGCAGAGAAGGAAGTTTCTGGCTTATCTGGATGAGACCGGGCACAGCTCTCAATGAGCTGCGGACGACACGTTTTCCACTTGCCTAAGGTACGATTGTCAGGCACATTTGATGGGGCAAAATGCCGTTACTACCAGACTTGCGCAATCAAAATCGTTGATCATGACCCTGCCTTCGGTCAAGATTCTCTGCCGTCTATCTTAAATGTCCTGTGAACCGTACACTGTCTTTTGATCGTCGCTTACTCCTTCACAATCGAATACCCATAATGCCACCCTTCCTTCCTCATATCCTCCCTCACCTTATATGCCCCCTCGGCAACATCCAACAGCCCCAGATCGACCTCGACAATCTCCATCGCCTCCTCGGCGCCCAGCTTACCCAGCGCGCCGACAAGTGGCATCGCAACCTGGCTGACGCCGCAATACCGCACCCTCGCCCCGCCCTCCTCCCGAACCTCCACCCCGCCTCCGCCCGCGGGCCCGCCCGCGTTGACGAGGACCACGGCCGCCGTGTTCTCAAACGCCCTCGTCACCATGACGTTCTCCAAGAATACCCGCTCCGAGTCCCGGTTCACCACCTCGGTCGCGCCGTTGCCCGCCCCATTGTCACGCTTGTACTCGTCGGCGAGCCAAAAGGCAGGACAGACGATAATTCTCGCCCCGTCGCGGATGAGCTCCCTAAACGCCTCGGGGAACGCCAGGTCCCAACACACCAGCATACCCGCCCTCCCGAGCGGCGTGTCAAAGGCGCCGTGCGGCTCGGGGCCCTTTGTCAGGTGCGGCCTCTCATTGTGCCACAGGTTCTTCTTCTGGTACCGCCCCAGCACGGCGCCGTCGGGGCCGATAAAGTACGCAACGTTCAAGAGGTCCAGGTCGTCCGCCCCCTCCTCGCCGTCCGGCTCCACAATCGTCCCGGGAACGATGGACACGCCTAGCTCCTTGGCCAGGGCCTGATACCGTTCAAGGTAGGTCCAGGACTGCGCGCAGGCGGATACGAACTGGGGATGGTCGGGGACCCATGATGTTAGATGGTACTCGGGCAGCACGGCGAGCGAACAGCCCTTGGAAACGGCGGTGCGGATGTAAGCCTCTGCCTTAGTGAAGTTCTCCTCTGGCGCGACGACCTGTGATGCTCATCAGAACTCTGTTTTTTTTCTCCCGGGTAAGAGGCAGAAAGTCCCCCGCAGCCGCAGCCGCAAGGAAACCTCGTGAGCCATGGCGCATGAAAAAGGAAGCGCGGGAGCTAGACTGGGCTAAGCATTTTCGATGAGGGGTAGTCCTAGACTTACTGACCTTAGGGTGCATTTGAATGAGCGCGATCTTGACCTTGTCCGCCATCGCCGCTGTCTTCGTCTCGTCTTGAGTTAATCCCGCAGGTTCAAGACGGTCGGGTGTTTGGAGACAACGGCAAACTTTGGCTAGCGGTCGGGGTCAGGCTATGAGGAAAGACAGTAATACGCCTTCATGCACTTCCCCGCAGTCAGTCTGCCTTGCACTGCGATACAGGCACACAAGATAGCAAAAGGGGAGATGAATGGATGAGAATGATCAAACTCCGGTTAAAAATGCATACCTAGTAGCCGAATAGGCGATTTGCTAAGTCCATATGCGAGAAATGATGTCAGTGGCAACCCTTCTCCCAGTATCAATATCCACCGGTTGCAACGTCCACGGTCAAGTGACTCGTCCCGAAAAAATCAACGAAAAGCAAAGAGGACGTTAAAGGATAAAATCGCAAACGCCAGAAACAATTTCGCCCTGCCCAGATGTTATAAACTTTGTAGGTGTTTCGATGTGGAGATGTATGTCGAATGTCGCTCTCAGTCAGCACCCCTCAAGTCGTCCTCGATCCTCGGATGTTGCGAATATCTAGCGGCAGGTCTCTGAAAAGATCTTTTGGGTTCGCCGTGGAGATGGAGGTCTTGTTCATGGCGCCAAATATTGAGGAGGTATGGTGATTGGCCTCGAGGATACCCGGCGTAAGATATTTGGCATGAGATACAACGAAGCCAGCAAGTTCGCCTGTAGAACACGCGGTAGTCAGTATCTTTTTCTCGAAAAGTAATGCGGTATAGCCTTACCGAGCGCAATGAGTCCCAGGTTCCGCACTGCCGATGGCGGAAGACCATAAGATCCCATGAGCAAAGATGCGGCCGGGCACGCCACATACGGCACCCAACTCGTCCAACTCGGTCGTTGCGTGAGATATCCTCGGACTTCCAATGTCGATGTGGCCATATCGTCTAGTGTATCCAGCAGGTCTTCTGAAATATGGTTCACGTGTGAAAGCCTCTCAGAGTGTGACTCGTATTTTGATGAAATGTCGTCGGTAAAGTGCAGGAGTTTTTCCAATCCCTAGAAATTATTTAGCCGCACGTTTGAGTCTTTCGAAGAACTTCCTTTACCAACCTTCTCAAGATGATCTTGCCGATCAGATATTTCAATCGATCGAAGATGTGACAGCTCCTAGGCCTACTGTCAGTTCAGACAGCAAGCGGTCGCTTTTGACTTGCTTACCAGCTGATCATGAAGGGATGTAGACGATGCTACAGCTGTTGCGAGCGCAGCCATGACGACCGCGACCTCATTGCCAGTTCGATCTTTGAAGTTTGTTAGTGCCAGCTCATTTGATGCTGCAACCTCGGCATTGCTGCTAAGGACCATTTTGAGGAGCACCGTCAGAAGCTGTTGCAGGTTCTGGGCATCCTCGAGGCCGCCTCGCATCGCGGAATTTGATGCCTATCCAGTCAGCTGAGTTGCAATGCCTAGGAAATGCTACGGTGAACCTACCTGCGCCATCTGCATCAAGTCCCCAGAAACGAATCTGTCCAGGTCTTGTAAGCTGTTTCGCAACTGATCGATGTCTGGGCTCATTTGGCGAAGCTGCTCTGTAGTCTCGGCTGTTCTCAAGTTTATCGCGTGTAAGTGGGCTTCAAGCTCTTGTTCAACACCCTCGGAGAGTTTGGAGAGTACTTCTGTGAGACGTTGATACAGACGAATACTCTGGGCTGCAGCAAGGTCAGAAAGACTCCCCACGTAAGGCGGATAGACGTTTACCTTTGTCATTGTCTGCGCGAGCAGCTTCGCAGAATCTGAGAGCTTTGTGACGGTAACTCACCCACGTATTCCATGCAGAGTCGGACTTGGCCAAACCGGAAAGACACGAGTCTATCTGCCGAGGTGAGACGTGAAGCTGAGCAACCTTTGAGACCGGCAGATTAGCCAGAGCACGTTCCCTGAACGGTGCACAACCAGACGGGATGACAAAACTGCCTCTTTCCAGATCACAAATAGCAAGACTGGCGGCATAAGAGTCCACGAAGTCACGGATTTGTCTGCCGCTATCGATTAGGACGGTGGCGTCATCTTTGCCTTCCAGCAGCTGGCAGTTGTTGACCAGGAGCCGGGCAGCGATTCGATGGCAGAGAGGCTCAGATTCGAGTTCTTGGAGCTCCTGCATAGCGACAGCGTAAACATTCGGCAAGCGTGATGCGTCGTGAACCATAATCGATGGGTTCACCAAATGCTCTTCGAGAGACCTGTGGGGTTCTGCTCTCGTTTCGACGCTACCCCAAGAAAAGGCTTCAACACCGTCGATCCATGCCCGCATCGACAACAACCCCAAGAGGAAAGTCGGTACACTGCACCACATACCGTCATCTGCGCCGCCTTGGCGTTGTTTGTCCAGGGTTGAAGTAGGTGAAGGGAAGCAACAGACTCAAGGATGGGGACCGACAGAGTGATGTTGCAGCCAGTAAGATATGGCGAGGTGACCCCGGGTCAGATACAAGGATATGTGAGGAGGAGAGGTATGGGTGTGGAAGAAGTTTGCGAGTCTCGGCCGTAAGTTGTTGGAAAAGACGATGGAATGACATGAGGCAACCTCCAGAATTGGGAGGGTACTTGACACGAGATAGAAGACAGAAAGAGGAAGGTATGGATCGTAAGGTCTGCAACTGGGTCATCGGGAAGTGCCTCCCTAAACCTGAGCCTCTTTCACTGAAAGCGGAAAGAGCCAACCCCAAGTTCGCACTTTCCCATTTACCGCGTGCCCGTGACGAGGCAAGACCTACCAGGGTGCCTTCCACCACTGTGCGCTCCTGCATAGAGTTACCTATCTTACTACCTTCGACCTTACCTTGTCACATGAATCCTTGGAAGGCTGTTCTCGGTCCAAGAAGGCTTTCAAAATGTAGGTCGTAGTGAGAATAAGTGGGAAGGGACGATTTGAAGGCGTTCAAGAGGTGAAATGTCTGAACTACGTCAGGTCCATTTGGCGACCTCGAAGAAAATGAATCACTACCTAGATCAGAAGTTGTATCCATGCAGCTATGCGCAATCTTACGGACACGATCGAAATCTTCAACTGAATGAGATGACTTTGGTGAATGAGTCTCTGATGTAAGTGACCGCCTAGGCTCGTTGATATTGCATAGTCAAGCAACCGGCAACAACAAATGGCTTTTGGGCAGAGACCCAGATGAGATAGGACAAATCTGAGTCAATGCTCGCAGAGGAAAGATTGATTCCTTTGTCATAAGGAAGAAGTTAGCGGACAGGGTTTTGATCTCCAGCTCTCGTCGACTTGGGAAGGTGTTAGGTTGGCCATGGCATACCATCTCAACCTCAAATGGCCACTGAACTTTGAGCTACTATAAGCTCGTAACTACCAATGGAAGTGTTTAATCTGATCTTAGTTTTCCATCTGCTAGAGATGAGGCAACCTGAGAGTCTTCTACGATGGAAGGCATGGGTAGGAGTAGTGCCGGCATTTGAATTATTAGTTTTTCGAGGGAAAAGGCTTGCATAGTGTGCCCTCTAAGAAGTTTACTTTACAAGTAGCTTTCTTATGACCCAAGCCATGCCATATGGCAGGTCTTGCATTCCTATAAGATGGCCATACAATAACATCAGACATCGTTCATCTAAGGTAGTCTATGCAACAAAATCATCCTCCGCCGGCCGGGGCGTGTATCTTTAAGTGCCTCGTGCTTGCCTTGCTGTAGGGACAGTGTAAAGGACCAGTGTAGTCCTAGAAATCAGCGCACAATCGACTCATGAGTATGACGGAAGCATAGTGCGGTTCACTCTGAGGTATTTCGCTCCATTGACGTTGCGATTGCCCGTTGTTGTCACTTGGTGTTCGGTGAGGGACGACATACACATTATATCCCAATCCACAAGACTAGTACTGAGGCAAGGCATCATCGCGGCTTCTAGCCTTGAAAGTTGAGAACCGTAGGCCCAAACACAGTCGAAGCTGTAATCAACTAACACCAGTGTGAACATGGTCGGAAGTACCCTCAACCGACAACGAGGTCGGACATCTCGATGACTGCTCCGAACGACGTGACCCGTCCGGGTGCCTACTTTTAAGACCCGAGTCCAAAAAAGCATCTTAATATGAGCAGCCGGCTTTCTTTTAGCGACCCTGCAGAATTTAGGGGCGTCGACTTACCTCCACTCGGATGGATGTTCTTTGCCAGAGACTATTCGCTGCATGAGGAAGCCTGTCGTGCGCTGGTGTGCATGCCGACGAATGTGCGTCTGACAAATGGTGCAAGCAAACGGCCATCCATATCAGCCCATTCGCGCAGCAGCTCGCAGTAGCGGGGTTCTTCGAGAAAACTTGAAGGGGAGAGAGGGAGGGTTATCGACCGGCAAGCCACAAGCGTACCAAACATCGCGGCAATATCCTCGGAAGTGGTCAACGTTGTATCCCGCGCGCGCGTTCTCGCATGAAGCCCTGCGAGATTTGCAGAGGGACATACATATTTCCCTTTCCCTTGCGGCTGGGAAACAAACAGAACAGAAGACCGTCGTGACTTTTGACGTTTGACACCCTGAGCAGATCACATATCAAAGGGTGACAGTGCGTGATAGGGCCAGGACGGGGGGGGGCTTATGGTACTCCGGAGGAGTCAACAGGGATCTAGGGTCTTTAAGCATTATCAGGAGTCCAGTCCGCCCCCACCTTTTGACAACAATTTCTACTGCTCGCTGCCTTGGTCTGTACATTCATCCTATTCGGAAAGACCCTCCTCTTCAGAGCAGTATAGAGCGCGCGCGTAGTATTCTTGTTTGCTCAGGAGAGCGTCCGAGGTAAATCTCGATGTCCTTACAAATAAGAGAAGACAAAAATGCCCTTACCCTTACCCACCGCCTTTTCGTGTAACATAACCGCAGACAATATTGTTCTGCACTGAACCGGGTAAAGACCCTAGCAACCGACCGCTTGATAGGTTACACATCGAAGGGCCCACCAATCCCGTAGTTCTTCGCCGAAGTGACGTCGGTCGTGGTCCACTGGAAACACGGACATCGGTGGCATGTCCCCAAAGAAGCTGACGAGAACGAGCACCTCAAGTCCCGACTCCCGGTGTCCCCCCCTTTCCCCCCCTCCCCATCCAAGCTGTCAAGTCACCCTGCAAAATTCTGATATGTGATGTACCGACGGACCTCTGCTCTTCCCTTGCTGCCTGTGCCTCGATTCGTCATTTCCAGTACCGCGGAACGCGGCAGGGCGTCCGACGGGGCCTGGACCACATGGTATTGGTTGCACGCCGGAGAACATCAAATATTCTCCTTCGCCGAGAGGGGCATATGATTGACCTCCTTTTGATCTTGTTCAGCTTTTGTAGATTGAACTTGCCTCTGTGAAACAGCCTTATTGTTCAGGGAAACCTACCTACTGAATATCTCCTTTCCGTCTGAACGCTTTTGCTGTATCGCTTTCTTCTAAGGATCAGACCTGCTGATGTTTAGTAGAATCTATTGAGCTCCTCCTTTTTCTCTGAAAACTTCTATTGTGTTGCTTTATTTCCCAGCCAGAGAGTCGCCTCTGAACCCCCTCTCCGCGAACCTGATGCCTTGAAGCTCTACCTTGGAGTGCCTTTTCCGCCTCGGCTTCCTGCTGTTATTAGACAGCCCACGACCTCAGAGTCCGAAGCAGAGTGCATCAAAAGGCGGCAATTCAATTCATACTGCTGTTATCAGATAGCCCGGAAATCTAGAGGCCAAGACAGAGCACACGACAAGGTTATCCGCACAATTGACTCCAGAGTCATAGTCTGTCTTGACAGAGACAAGTCGTCTTGGGTATACATCTTTCAGTTCGTATAGAACCTCTATGAAGTCAGGAATCCGGCAAAAAAAAAAGCAAAACGACATGCTGATCCAAACATAGCAAGACCCATCACCCACGAAGCCGAGGGAATCAATAGCAAGCTGCGGACTCCACAATCGAGACTAAGGAAGATGTGCACCCAGTGGCAAAGGAAATACAAGGAGTGCGGTCATGAGGGCCTTCATGATTATAAGCATTGCACGGAATTTGGAAATGGCTGTTTCGGAGCGAAGCGACCTTACGAGGTGGTAGAAATAGCTGGCAAGTGTGAAGATTGCAAAAGTCGAGCCGCTGATCCCAACCCTCGAAAAGTCTGAGGACTTCTTTCCGAGTGTTGTTGATTCATGGCAACATGAGAGTCAAGCTTGAAGAAGGCTTAAAGAAAGGGGATGACATCTGCACAGAGAAAGAAAATATGGCGGATACTGGTATTTTATCGCAATTATTATCCGTAACTAGCACTTGTCGGTAATATGAACAGTATCATGCCAAAGCAGCTCGCTACTATGTGAAGCCTCACTTGATCCGCCACCTAGCAATCCTCCGTCTTTCGCCCGTGTGAACTTTGCCCATCCTGCGAGACTGATCTTCCCCCCCCTTGACAAGATCATTACCAGCCGTCTGGCTTGACACAGTACCAATAACCCTCGAAGATGTTGTTCAGTGAGCAGCCACGCAGGCCGCCAATGGCTTGGTTCAGGCCTATGATATCGGCCTTTGTGATGCCGTTCTTGGAGGCGATGGAATCGCAGGTGTCGCCATCTGTAGCTTTGTAGAATTTGACGCATTTCGGCCACATTGGCTCGAGGTGAGGGTTTGGAGTGGCGACGGGGCTGGCTGGAATAGCAACGACCGAGGTCGAAACCAGGAGGATGGTGGCGATACCCGTGATGAACTTCATGGTGATCGTAGAGCGAGGGTGTATTGACGACTCGGGAGTTGAAGCGAATGAGAGGATGAAGTGTGATTGTTTTTTGGAAAATGTTGAGAAAACCAGGAGCGAGTATTTATACTATCTCAAGAAAAAAGGTTTCGTGGATGGGCGCCGATGCTCTCATTCACTGCGTGATACCAGCGGCTTTGCCGTTTCTGATGCTCTTTGACCAAACTTCGTATTCCTCAGCGCTGGCCGACCGACGAACGCAAACACGAGCATTGGAGCTGCTGCACTTGCAGCAAACGTGATGGGGCAGCATGGAATCGAACAAACTTATATGAGAAAAACTGACAATGGGACGTGAGTCGAAGTCGTGGGGAACGCAAGGGAGGAAAAGCAATCAAAGGATGTGTTGAGAAAAGTTCTAGATGTCTTTGCGCATTGCTGGCTCAACGGCGCCAACGGCGTTTCGGGCACTTGTCTCGACCAGTCCACGTGGGTGCCGCCGCCACAAACGGTTCTACCACCAGTCTGCATTGGAATTACGGTATAACGGTCGTGCCTGTCTGTTTAAGGCAAGGTGAAGTGAAGTATCTTTGAAGTATCTTGGCTGGGGGCGGAAAAGGACGATGGATGCAACGACATTGGGGAGGAGCGGAGGGTAGTGTTCCTGACGGTTGAGAACTTCCGCGCCGGTCCCGCCCCGAAGACGGACGGCAAGTATGGATTTGGAGAAGGCGAATAACGGTCTTGCTTCAATCATGAGACGGCGCAAAAAAAAAAAAAAAAAAACGTCAAAGGGGGGGCGGAAGGTGGTGGACATTAGACTGGACCGACCCGTGGACACCGGTTCGGGGAAAGAGGTCTAGGGGATTTTGGGGGGGAGCACGGGGGAGGAGACCAGGCCAGAAGAAGCCGGACCCTAACGGAGCGGGAAGTTTATTCTGGGGCCGACGCTCGGGCCAGCTTGCAAGGCTGACAACGAGGGCGCGGTGTGGTGGGGCCGGATCGACGCATATCCAATGAATTACCCTTGTCCTGGAGCTCGGCGCCCATCGCACGACTCCCCTCCAGCAGCCTCGTTCATCATACGATTGTCAAGATGAAGTGGTCGATTTTTGATACGCTCAGCCAGTGTGCCCCGGCCACTGGCAAATTCGATGTCAGGCCATTCCTCCCGATCCTGCATCATTCTTTCCCGCCCAATTGCCAAACTTTTGCACACTTTTCTGCCAGTTGTAGTTTTTTTGCCTACTCGGCCGCCCTGGCCCGAGTCAATTCGAGTCAATCCCTCCCCTCCCTCACGGAATCCGGCGCGGGTCACTTTTCCTGTCTTTGAATATCAGCCGACTTTGTCTTCGTCCTTCCGGTACAGAGCTCCAGCTGTCTCCTGCAAGTCGCGATTCCCGGCCTGCTCTCCTACGAACTGCCGCCGTTTCCAATAGCACCACCACCACTATCAAACCACCTGAACCGCTCAACTTTTTTCTCCCGCCTCCGTAAACCTCCTGCAGCCTCCCACAGGTCCCTTGTTGGATACGTAAGGTGTGACCAGTCATTTTCGTCCTTGCCTCCACATATTCCTCTCCCCCAACCCTCAACTCTTTTCTCATCCTTCCCCGTGTTTGATGGATCTTGTTGTTGTCCGTCCCCGTGCCTCTCGTTAGCCTACTGCGCCTTCTCAAGCCTACTCGCCAAAAAGCCAAACAATTCTTTAAACGATTCGGACCTTGGCTGATCTTAATAAGCGAACTCCCCGCCTTGCCTGCTGTTGCGCGAGCGACACACTCTTGACGGTACACGAACGCGAACGACCGTCTCTGCTCATCCACTGCGTCCTGCCCTGCCTCCCTTGCCCAACGACGACCCCGACGACTGTTGCTCGCTGTTTGTCCCCATCGCCTTCGCTGCCATTGGACGACGACGTTGCCTTGATTGGCTACACGAGGTGGTACGACTGGCCATCTTGAGTCGCCAAACTCTTTCACCGACCAAGTAGCGTACGAGGTCCGGGCCTCGAGTGCTCAGGAATTATTCGGCAAGCGATCGAGCCGCTGTACATCCACTCTACATTGCATATATCGATTTCTAGATCGACGACCGCCGACGTTTCGGGGGCCGAAATGCTGGCGCTGTGATGGACCCCAACTTTCTCAAAAACATCGACTTCTTCGCCGTCCCCAACAACCAAACAACAAACTCAGCCGAGCAGTCCGCCGAGTCGTCTGCCACAGGTGCTGCCAGAAATGCGCCGGACAATGCCTTGTGGGAGTCCCTAGGTGGCGACCCTGCAAACTCTGAGTCGACGTCCAATGGCCCCTCCGGTTCGCTGCCTTCCTTTGCTCAGGCATCGCCTGCCAGCACGAACTTTGGCCTCGGCTCCATGCCAGCTCAAATGCAGTTCAATCATGGTGGTCAACAAAGGAATCCAGGCTTACCGAGCCGTGCCGCGCCGAACCAAGATCCCCGGCGGAGGGATGGTCATGCACGGAAACGGACCAAGGTCGATTCTGAGGCTGCTGCACTGGAGTCGGTCGACTACTGGATCCAATTCGATGATGATGAGGAACAGAAGCTCGGTGGAAGCTTTGAGATCGACTTTTCAAGGCGTAGCAACCCTACTCCGAACTACCGGCCTAGGTAAGATAAATTGAACCCAGGACTCACTACTGGGCATCAAAGAAAAGCTAACATACTGACAATTGCTAGACCCGCTGCAAACCGCCTGAACCCCATGTCCACAACACCTGGCCTGGGTGCCGGCTTATACACCAATCCTGTTTTCAAGCCAGAGGACTTCATGGATGACGCCGCGCTTGACAACGCCCTCTCTGACGATGAGGACTTTCTCGAATCAATGAACCTCGGCGACCAGCTTGGGAAGATTGATTCTCAACCGCCTCAAGAGGTACCGCCTAGGGAAGGCCTTTATTCAACACCCCTGAGCTGGGAAAAGCCTGCACCTGGGCTGAGGATGAACCCCCTTTTTGGAATGGGAGGAATGGGTGCCATGGGTGCGCCCATGCTTGACCCCGAACAGCGACGCTTGCTAGCTATAGCGCTCAACACGGGGCGATCTTCAACTAGTATAGGGTCTGGCATGGGATTCGGTGTCGGAGCAGACCTTGGTCCAGAATTTGCGAGCTTGGAAAACTTTGATGCCAGCATGGCGTCAGGCAGTATGAACGATATGGCCAACGATCCCGAGCAAGCGGCTCTTCACAAGGGCAAGCAAAAGGAAAAGGCCTCCGTAAAAGAGGAGCCCGGCACTCAACGGCCCCAAGTGTCACGGACCACCACCAACGCCACTGGCATATCTGAAAAGTCCAAGGATAAGTTGAAGGCGGGCGATCGAACGGCGCATAACGATATTGAGAGAAAGTATCGTACCAATCTCAAAGACAGAATTTCGGAGCTGCGCGACGCGGTGCCGTCCCTGAGGTCAATACCCGAGGAGGGAGGTGGTGAAGACGCTGAGGTTGACAGCCAATCGCAGCGTGGCCCTAAAGTCAGCAAGGTAAGCTGGAGTGGTTTTCATCCTTCGCCAAACGCGCAATACCTGCTCACACTCATCTACAGGGCACCGTCCTCACGAAGGCGACTGAATATATACACTATCTAGAACGAAGGAACAAAGCCATTATGCGTGAGCACCAGGAACTCGCGAGGCGCCTGCAGGCCTTTGAGCAGCTCTTGAGCGCGCAGGCTCGGCAGCCATTCCCCATGCCGAACTACAGCAGGACGCTGTTCGACCCAAGAGGTTTCTGTTAAGAATCTCCCTCCTCTCATAACATGACGCATTACGATTGCGAATTGTACATATTACGTTTTTCAACGGGCTGCGATTTGCCCCCCAAAATATACGATTGTGGTCAATCTACGAGGAATGAGTAGGCATGTTAAGAATAATCATGGGTTATCAGACCTGCCATGAACTGTTATACTGCTTTCGGAATTATTTGGAGCTATTTTGGGGAATGAGAAAAAGGAGTTATTGACCACCAACGTGATTCAGATGGTGTCATTCCTAGTGACGTGTCGGTCAAGAAACTTCCCAAGGTCAGATGAAATTCGGCGAAAAATGAGATTAGGCTCAAAGACAGCCGTCTGCTCGAAAGCAAGACGTTTCAATGACGGGAGAAACACATACTCTCTAGACTATCCAATTGCTATCGTATTTGGCATTACTGCTGATGTGCTGTTCAAAGTGACGATGATAAGTTTTCATGTCTTTGCTTGTCATTGACATTTACTGACCCCTCTGGCAGAGGTTTCCATGACCGCTCGTGAACGAAACCGCCTTGAGCGGCCTGTCTGAGAATTGATGATTGAAGAAAATCCCAATACTCACACTCGGTTTGGTAAAGCAACGTCAGTGACACAGGAAGAGGGGTGGACATTCAACCGCTACTTAAAGGGTTGGAATCCAGCTACTCATGTTGCACAAGCCACTTATACCGCGATAACGGTGATCTCACATCGTTCTGAATCAGCTGTCCAACATGGCCTCTGACCAAAAGCTGCCTGAAGAATCAGTCCCGAGGAACAAGTGTTGTGACATCGAGGATGCCCCGTCAGGTCTGTGCTGGGAACGTGCCTTGCCCCCTTTGGCCTTCTGAGCTCCGGTAGGAAACAAAGGTCCTGGTCCAATTTAGTAGATATGGGAGCGTTGATACGAGATTTTAGCCTATGGAGAAACCAAGTTGCATAATTACAAATCTCCTTTCTGTTGCGACCTCAGCGGTGGACGAAGTGGGACGATACTCGACCAGCAAAAGCGGAATGGCTTCTCTTTGTGTAACGGCACAGTTTATGGTGCCACTTTGGTATCGTTACTATGTTGTTACAGCGATGGATACACGGAGGTTTACAGGGTTTCACTAATGTTGGTACACCACGTCGCCCGGCCCCTATCTCCTTCCCTTTCTCTTTCTCTTAGTCTCTCAGAGCCTCAATATCAGCAATCTCCTTGACGGCCTCCGTCGTAAAAATATACGGTGACGTCTCGTCCACGCAGATGCTATCCTCGATCCGCACGCCCATACCCCGGAAATGCTCCGGCCACCGGTCCGTGTCCGGGACATAAATGCCCGGCTCGATCGTTACGCAGTGGCCTTTCTTCAGCGGCGTCCGCCGGCCGTACCCGGGAACATCGTGCACGTCCAGCCCGACGTAGTGCCCGACGTGATGCGGGAAGAGCACGTCGACGTCGCGTGACGTGATCCCTTCGAACCCTAGACTCTTAAGCTGCTCGAGCAGCCCCGCCGAGGTGTGCTCGTGGATCTCGTCTAGTGAAAGGTTGGCATCCTCGCGACAGAGCGCGACGCTGGACCGCTGGACCGTCAATACAGCCTCATAGAGGTCCCGCTGGGCGGGCGTAAATTTCCCGGCGGCGGGCCAGGTGCGCGAGATATCGGTGATGTAGGTGCCGTACTCGCCTCCCGCGTCGACGAGGAGCATCTCGTCCTGCGGGACGGTGTTGTTGTTGACGACGTAGTGAATGCACAGGCCGTTTCGCCCGCCCGCGACGACAGGGACGTAGGCGGGGCCGTCGCAGCCGTCGGCAGTGAAGCGGTAGTCCAGGAAAGCGTGGAGGTCCTTTTCGCGGGTCCAGGCGCGGCGCATGGCGTCCGTGATGACGCGGCCGGAGATTTGGCCTGCGCGGCGCATGTTGGCGATCTCGGCGGGGGACTTGATGGCGCGGAGCTGGTTGATGACGGGGTAGAGCGGGATCCGGACAGAGGGGAACCAGGATTTGTCCGAGTTCATGAGGTTGGCGAGCTTGCTGCTGCCGTTGCCCGCGGGTTCGCTACTGCTACCCGGCTTCGGGATGTCGGTGTAGACCCTGCTGGCGCCCTTTAGGATCTCGGGGAGGCAGCGGTCGATGCGGGCAATGTCGTCGGCCTTGTCTGCGTTGAAGATGTCGAGCGCGGCCTGGACGCCGTTGCGGGCGCCCATCCACTGCTCCGCGACGGGTTCCTTTGGTTTGGCGAAGAGGTGGAAATCGTAGTCGCCGTAGTCCTTGCCCGTCTTGCGGATGACGGCGACCGAGTCGCCCTCGTTCCAGCCGGTGAGATAGAGGAAGTTGGAGTCTTGGCGGTAGGGGAAGAAGACGGCGCCCGAGCGGTATTTGAGGTCTGCGGCGGCGAGGACGGCGACGGCGTTATCTGGGAGGCGCTCGGCGAGTCGGGCGCGGCGGTCGTGGTATTCTTGGGCTGTTATGCCGGGTGTGACTGAAGGGGGGGTGTTAGTTTATGAGCTGCTAAGTGATTTTGGATAGCTTTATTCGCATGCCATTCACATGAGGTTCATATGAAGTAGGCAACCATGAGATGAAGTTTGTCCACGTGAAGACGTTGGGGTTGACTTACTCTCTCCGGCTTTGAGAATGTGAGGGTGAGTCTCATGTACCGGCTGGCCGAACTGCAGATCGCCGGCAGAGACGTCGGAGTAGGGCCGGAGCTGACGGCCGACAGCGGCGGAGGAGGGTGGCAGAGGCCGGCGCCATGGTGATGCCGGGCGTAACCTCGGGGCGGCACGGAGGGCGCGGCTCACCGGCCGTGAGACGTTCATGACCGGGTCTTGTCACTTGTGATGTGAGTGGGTGGTGGGTGTGAGGTGAGAGAGTCAGACAAGGGAGGTGGACGCGGACGCGGACGATGGACGGGCTCTACGGTTCGGATGAGGTCATGACCGGAGGTGCTAACCACGGGCAACCTAAGGTAAGGTACGGTACTACGGAAGCAGTGTAGGAGAATTTGGGTGCTCACTGCTCAGTTCTGACTCGTCAATGGCGAACGCATGCGGATTTTGAGTGACACGGGTAACCTAGATGTCCCCTCCCCTTTTAGGTATCGTGCCACAATGACGAGTGGATGAGAATTTGCAGTGAAGATGAGAGTGAGTGAGTGTATAAGTCTTTTTTATGTATTTAGTGAAGACATGCAGGTCATGTTTTGCATCTGCATGCGTATTATTATACATCCCATACCTTATTCCGTCCAGCCAGCCACCTTGCAAAGCTTTTTACGGAGACGGTGCAACACATATGATTCGTCTACATAGCATTATGCCTCAAGTTTCCAAGGCTCTCTGAAGCGTGAAAAGATACTTGACAAGATCCGAATGTCCGACCGTCAACACATGGTCATCGTGGTCACTGTCGAACACATTGCGTAGGCAGATGCATATGCACCGGGGAATGGATCCAACATGGCCCCAGAAACAGCAAGATTTTCTTATTGTTTTTCCACACTGGCAGCTCCATCCAATTTCCATCATCTGCACGCCTGTCACCTTTATCCACCCCGGGCAGCCTGTCGCCTAGCACCCGGGTGCTTTGCCCGAGGGGGTTGTTATTGTTGATGGGAGGTGGGCCTTCGGTAAGGTACCTAACCTGAGGTAAGTTAAGGTCGGCAGGTTGGTAAAATAGACAGGTTCAGTAAAGTTGGGGGGTCCTTACCTTAAGGGATCTGCCTGGAATTATAGTGAGCTATGTCTGTACTACAGCGGCTGCATCCACTGTGGCCGCTGACTGGCAAGACGCGCTGGGCCAAGCAAATTTGGCCGGTTGCTGGAGAGAGGTCTGGCCCGTGCGTGTTTTTGGGCGTGTCCAACTGGGATTAGCGCTGTTGTTCCCCTCCCAAACTCGTCAAGCGCGACTTGGGTCCTGCCATGGGTCTTTGGGTAAGCCCGGGGGGGGGGCCACGGTCTGGTAAGAGTGGACGACGGGGGGGGACCTCTTCCCAGTGTGTTCCCACCACACAACCACACGCACACACACAACACCAACCACTCTCTTGATTAAGAAAGCTCTTTCCTCTGCACATTCACCACACACCTCTCAGGTGCTGCCTCCACGACGACTCCGACGACGATACCCTCCCCTCCTCTTTTCTCTTCTGCTCGTGTGGTTTTGCAACTTCTTTCAGGCTCAAACTCCGTCTTCAATGTCTTGGTGAACTTTGTCGACACGGTCTCTGTTGGAACGCGTGAGCGACGTGTAGTAGCCTCCCACGTCGCGTGCTCGTCCACAGAGCAGCAAACCCCCCCGCCTCTTCGCAGCCACCACAACCACCACCACAGATACTCACGTTCTGTCTCCTCCTCTCTCTCATTTGCAGCGCCCCCGAACCACTCAGATCCGATCGGCAATATTTCAACAGCCTCTTCACACCAAGCATATTGATTGGGCATTTTTATGGCAGCCATATCCCTATCACCGAATCCTATCCCTCCTTCGGCCATGTCCACCAGACGAACGCCTTTGTCTAGCAACCCCAATGTGGTCAATTCACCCTTGAGAGCAGCTTCTGCTCTGGCCCACGCCAAGCAGAAGCGCTCTCATGCCAATATCCAACGGGAGGAGCTCTACGCCCAGCCACCCCCGTTCAAGAAGCAGGTTGTCGAAAATGTCGGCTCGCGTCAGCTTCGGTCGCCCTCAAAGGTCACAAAGGCATCCCAGCTTCCCCAGCGAGTCGGCCGCCCTATAACAAAGGAACGATCAGCACACCACGATGACTCTAGTAATGTCGAGAGGATCCGCCAATGGCAGGCTGAATACCGCGGGAGGTTTCCCAAGATGGTCTTTTACTTTGATAGTGTCCCGGAAGACCAGAGGGCCAAGCTTGCCCGTCAAGCTCAGTCTCTTGGAGCCGTATGTGCAAAGCTTGCCAGCCAGGATTCTGTTGGCTCTTCCACTGACAACTTGTATAGAGAGACGAACGATTCTTCTCAAGTAGCATCACCCACATTGTGACCGCCCGACCGATACCTGCGCAAGAGGACGTGCAAGCTGCTGCACACGATGCCGAACTCGAGGAACAGCCTCAGACCATCAACCCCTCCCTTCTCGACAGGTCTACCGACGCACGAAGACGTCTCCTGCTAGAGACTACCTCGAGGCGAGTTCAGGCCCAGGCTCACGACGACAGAACCAGGAGAACGAGATCAACCCAGAGCAACGATGTTCTTCACAAGGCTCGAGACATGGGAAAGAAGATTTGGTCGGTGGAAAAGTTCCAGAGGATATTGCAATTTCTGCTGGAGCCTGATCCGCATGTCGTTGCTGCATATGGCGCCAACCGCGATTCGGCGAGAAACGTGGGAACAAAGAAGGCTACCGAGGAGCCTGGTCTACTGCAGCTGTTACAGCATGAGCGGCTGAACGGTCCCTCGGATGCGGTCACTAGCCGGGAAATGATCAACTTTAAGGGGCCATATATCTACATCTACGACATCGACGAGAAGCAGAAGCCTATCATGGTGCGGGAGTATCCCAAGGTCAATAACAAGTACCACGGCGAATGGCCGCAGTTCAGGACTGTTACCGAAGGCCGATGCCCCTTTGTCGAAGAGCCCGAACCCGTTGAGCGGCCCAGTCGGAAGCCGTCAACGCAGCAGAAGGATCCAAAGGAACACAAGGAGCGTGTTGCCAAGCCTGCGGTTGAGGATAGCCCGTCTCTCCAGCCTCCTGAAGTCCCTGCGCCAAAGGCAGCCGTTGGGAAGCGCTCGCTTTCTGAGATGCAAGTGGGCCAGAACAAGTTGCGGGCTGCCATGAAGCCCATGGATGTGTTCAACCCTCCCAAGGCCGTGGTATCAAACCCGATTGATTTCGGGCGGACTCAACATGCTTTCACAGGACGGACCGGCAACGGGCGCTTCTTGGCCGGCGAGCCCGTCGCTTCTGGATTGCAGCCATCCAACGTGACTTCGGCTATCCGGTCGAACATGATCTCCTCTACCTCTGGCATCAACGGAGCCAAGGCCGGTACGAGCAAGGAGGTGCATGGTCTGCAACGCAAGGTGTTGCAACGGGGTGCTCCCGTTCCCCAAGATGCCAGCTCACGGCGGCTCACGGAGATGTCCCTGGAAGCGACGTCAACTAGATCTACTAGTGTTTCTCGAACCACCAGCAGGCGTATGGAGCTCATTGAAGAGGACGCTGAGAAGCCGAGTTCCAAGCTCTCAAGAGCCAGCTCCAAGACACAGGCTCTGCCTGCTAAGAGCAAGCGTGACCTGAAGCCGGGCTACTGTGAGAATTGCCAGGACAAATTTAAGGATTTTGACGAGGTATGTGGAGAGTGGGACTTGAATAGTACTGTCACGCTAACAACTCGAAGCACATTCTCACACGCAAACATCGCAAGTTTGCTGAAAACACTGACAACTGGGCCGAGCTGGACGACCTTCTCAGCCAACTGGGCCGGGCTCCCAGATACCGAACTAAACACTCACGCGACGACGAATACACGGACGACTCCTTGTAGACCAGGCCAGCCCATGGACTTTTCGCCATGTCGCCCAACACTTTGACACCGACTCTGCCCTGCTTCCAAATGTTCTTCTCGATCCCCCACTTGCCATTGCAATGCACGGCATATTATCATCAAAAAGCTACGGATACGTTCCACGGTCGTGGAACCAATGATACCAGTAGACTGTCCAACATGAAACCATGTTTGGTTTCCGGTCATGTTTATTTTCTCTTCACTTCGTCTTTCACTAATAGGTCGGCTCGCATTGATATCATTGCATGCACAGTGGCGTTTGGCATGGATTATCTTATACCACGACGGCTCAATTTCTTTTTTGGCGCGGGCAGGGCGGCGGCACTTTGTCGGCCATCAGCATCATCATTATCACCAGTGGCCGTACATGCGATAGGAGGAGAAACTAGGACGGCGCGTCTTAATGAACCACGGTGTAGATATCACATTGAACAGTCTATGCTTGTGTATATTGTACGTTGAACACGAAAAAGACTTGCATGGTTTGGGAAAGTAGGGTGCTGCGGGTTTGTGTGAAGCAGCCCGAGTGTTGGTGTTATTCAGACAAGGCGTTGAGGATAATTCAAGCATTTCATATACACCCCGTATCCTAGATGAGTCTTACGGTGAATATCCGTACCACGCTTCGATTATTCACCGGGTCAGCTTGGAGACGAGATGTAGATGTCAGATACTTCGAGCACGCGACGGAACTAAGAGGTGAATGAAATCTCCGGAGTCCGGGGGTGCATTGACAACCACGATCTCGACTACAAGAAGCTATCGTGCATTCATTCTAGTCTCGTCCACGAGAAGGGCACCGGTCTGCGAACCAGCCACGCCAGCGTCTCGCAAACGGCCCGAGCTTGGTCTAGGGAAGTTCATTCTCCAAATGACTATTTGGGAAGTGAGTGCATATGGTCCTCACAAAAAAACATCGTATCTGAGATGAGGTGAAGGAAAAGAAATTCCATGGTAACGAACGGGTCTGGCATCGAATTAGGTTTCGACGATGCGCAAGCTACAAGGCTTTTGGACGGGACGGGTTTTGTGGTTTTCCCACGCGTTCGTTTGGGTGTTTGCACGTCAGTCGAGCTTCCATGCATCCCCGTCCGCGCTTGCTGCACATTCCGCGCGCCGCACCGTACCCACGCTGCCCCACCATCCATCCCACGGGCCCTCTTCTAGTGACATTTTAATGGGGCGAGCCGACTTGTATTCAGCGGGCCTCCGAGGGTGAAGGTCATAGCATGTTTTTGGGCAGGGGAAGATATCAACTAGTCTCTATGGCTCAGTCGGTAGAGCGTTGGTCTCAAATCCATACATATGACTCTAGAACATCTAGAGATATCCAAAGGTCGCAAGTTCGAGCCTTGCTAGGGACAGTTTATTTTGTTTTTTGGGGGATTTGATGTTGGATTTGTATTGTTTTGTTAGTTTTGGATGGTTTAATGGGGTTTGGGAGGGTGTTAGTTAGTAGGCTTAAAAACTTTGTCGAGGAAGTCCTTGTGGCCTTTTTGAAAGAACACCTGCACTCAAAACTCCAATAAAGATCACATCATCAGTATTTTTTTGTTTCTTCGCGTAAGGCATCCTTAAATTCACCGCCCTTATTTTTCTGGTATTGCATGCGGCCAAGACTAGACCTTATGTAACACTTACTCTAATTCGGACTTCAATTTTTCATCGTCGAGTCGATGAGGAAGAACGAACCAACTCAAGGTTGCCTATCCCTTATCAGCTGGTGGCGTTCGATTGCCCAGTTAGCGTGCTGTCTATTATACTCGAGTACACACATAGATTATTCGCCAGCACATGGTAACTCATTTTAGTGTACGTTGTTCAGTATTCATTTAATTTCTGATTGTTTTAACAGAGCCGAGGTTAGTCTATGCTTACGCAGTTTACAGGTCTCCTGAGCCAGAGCCTCAACGAGACGAGACCTATTCCTCCCGCTTCCTCTTCACTCTTTCTTGTTCCTGCTCATATTCCAGCATCGCCGGCAGGTACTGGATTGTCGGTGGGAGGTGACTCAGATTGTCGTGAGCCCGCTCTTTGCCATACTCCGGGTGTCCGTACATGGATGATCTCATATCTTCCACATTGTGAAAGAGGCAGGGCAATAGTCTCTGGACGGCGGAGCCCTGGCGGATTGCCTCGTAAATTTTTGAAACGCTGGTACCAATAGTGCTGTGCTGCCCTTCCCTCAAGCCTTGGTGGAATTCAATTCTCAACTCCTGGCGCACGAGACTTTGGAGTGCTGCAGAACCTTGGCCTAGTCCTTCGGGGTATGTGTGCTCTGAGTTGGGTCTTTTGAACGGGTCGGCGACCCACGCTTCCATGGTTTGCCGGAAAACGTCTCGGACGGCCATGATTTCCATCAACGAGACGGAGCTAGACCCATCGTGAGCTATCGAGTCCATGATGTGGGAGGCGGCTTTGGAGGCAACGATCGAGCAGCGCTCGATATGGCTGGATTTGTTTGCCTCGTACCACCACACTCTGACTAGCTCGTCAAAACCAGCCGCTGTCATGGTTGACTTAGTCGTCTGACCGTTGCTCATGTGGTCCTTGTCCAACAACGAGGCCAGGTTTGTCATGGAAGTCGACAAGGACACAAAGGAAAGGAACTTCTCGTGATAGGCTCTCAGGTCCGCTGCCTGGCAGCACACGAGGAGGTGAGCGGCACACATGTGCGATAAGACATCGACAGCCTCCATGGTACGGCGGCCTGAGAGGAACGCGAGAGAGTTGATGCCCTGGTTATGCATCTCGGCTGACTGGACGTGAGACGAGATGGGGTGCGCGAGCGCAGCCAACTCCGACATGTAGGCACTCATATTGACGTCGATGCCTTTCATAGTATAGGACACATTAGGGTCTCCCAAGACGAGGTTCGGATCGAGGCCGTTGTTCGTGGCCGGGTTGATTAGCTCGGAGCACTGCGAGAAGAGCATACGCCCGATCATCTGCAGCGCCGTCCTAGTCTTGTCCATGGCGGAGGTGATGGCGGTGGCTTGGAAGTTGCCTCCGGAGTACACGTCACCTGCGGCCACATCGCTGCCGACGCCTATGTCTATAACTGGATTGTCGGATGTCGAGTTGAGCTCGGTCTGGATTTGCCTATAGGCCAGTTGGAGGTCCTCCAAGTACGGTCCCATCCACTGGGGCGCGGTTCGTGTCGAGTATCTGTCCTGCCATAGACCTTGGCCCGTCCGTTTCTTGTCTTCCAGGCCGGTTACATACTTGGAAGACTTGAGGAAGTCGCGAACATTGTCGGCCACCTCTTTCTGTCCGTTGTGAGGTCGGATCCTGTGAATGAACTCGTTTGTCCACTCAACGTTCCCAAGTAGGCACTCGGATGTGAATGCAGTAAGGCCTTGGGCAAGGACAACGAGTTGGTTCGCTTCGTGAATTACCAACGCAGCCAAGGCGGCAGAGGGTGCTGTCCCGTTGATCAGGCCCAAGCCCTCTTTTGGCTGTAGTTCAACAGGCTGAATGCCACATTGTTGCAATGCTTCACGGGCAGACATAACTCTTCTGCTAGTGCCTGATCCAATGGTGACGGAAATATTGGGGTCTCCGATTAGAGTCCCCGCGATGTAAGATAGGGGCATCAAGTCCCCGGATGCCGAAATGGTCCCTCGCAAGGGAATCAATGGCGTGATGTCGTGACGGAGAAGGCTGAGGAGAGTCTCGATAACCTCCACCCTGACAGCACTATGTCCGCGGAGGTTTTGGTTCGCCCTGATGACGATGGCGGCCTTCACCCAAGCCGTCGGAATGACGTGAGACTGCCCGTCTTGATCAACTTGACCATCTCCCAGGTCAGAGGAGGCGATGATGGCGCTTTGGGTGTGTTGGAGCAGAGAAATTTGTAGTTTCTTGAGCTGTTCCGTCCGTGAGTCGGCGCTACCGCCAAAGCCCGTGTTGACGCCGTACACGATCCAGCCGTTTTCGACATGGTGCTCGAGGACTTCGAGACTCTGGCGTATTCGGTGTCGAATTTCTGGGTCATCCTTCACGCAAGGAACGAGTCCGTGGCGCGCTGCAGCAACGACGACTGGAACGTCAAGATACAGGCCGTCTAAGGAAACAACCATAGGTAAGTGTGCCAAGTCTTTAACATCGCGTGTCTGCTTGCGCACAAGCGTAGCATGTGTTGCTGCCATTTTGGTGGATTTGCGTCGCACTCAGGTACAACGAGATCAAGATCTAAAAAGGGGTCTGAAGTTCTGCAGGCAAGATAAGCAATTGAGTCTTGCTTGAATGAAAGCATGCCTAGAAAAAGAAAGAATCGAAAGTGGACAAAATGCGACTTATAAGTAGGCTCATGACCAGTCACCACACTGGCGAGCAATAGCTATGTGATTGGTTGCGTAGGAATAAGGAAGGTGAGGTGAATCAGAGATTGTTCTCACAATTGTGTAACGTCTATGGCATCCAGCAAAGACGAAGTGAACAACTATGAGTAGTCCGAATACGTGTTGGCTCTCCGTGGTAGAGGACGTGGTCACGATCACTCGCAGGCTTGAGTGTTGCTCACGGCTTGATGTGCTCTCTGTAATGAGCGCGGCTTATGCGATGAGAGTAAGAGACGTCGTCTATTCAGGGCTACGCGCCTGAGGCCAAGGGTGGTCGCATTGATTCCTTGCATCTTTCTCTCCCTTTTAGGTACTCTGCGATCATCGTGCATGCGTAGTGATCAGATAGCCTATTATCTATGGAAACCTTTGGGCCTTCGGAATTTTCGGGTTTTGTACTCGTAATCGATGTTGCCTGTAGCATCGCGGGCTCATGGTGACGAGCTGAATTGAAATATATCTGGATAGTTGATGTTGGATCTGTAATTGATGGTTGGTGTTCAAGGTAGTAGTACCTTGTCTTAGGAACAACCTGAAGTGAGGTGCTTGAGGTGCCTGGCGAGCCCGCCCGGGGCACTTAGGCAGCGACCACTCGCGGGGCTCCGGTCAACCACCTGCCAAACCCAGCAGACAATAACCAGGGCAGTCTCACTCTTTCATCTCCAACCTCACTTCCTTCCTGTGCTGTCTATTCAATCGAGCAACCTCCCAGTACTTGATGACTCGGCTAGCTCGACACCGCTCTATCCTCCTCATCCCAAGACTCCCTCGAACACGCATACACTGTAGGCAACCACACAGCACCCGAAAATGGCGACTCCATCATCGCCTGGCATCCCGAGGTCAGACTCAACGTCACCTCCGCCTGCAACCATCCCAGATCGTCCAGCCTCTCCGGAAGTGCCACTCACCATGTCCGCCTCAGCCATCCTGATAGCTCAGCCTCGCGATGTGGCTTCTGCTCTGAGCAGCGCAGGCGAATATCCTTCAGACAAGGTTGTGGTCAAGTTCAAGGCCGTCGGAAGTGCACCCTCGCTCGCTCGAGGGGTGGCCAAGATCTCTTCTACCCAGACATTTCACACCGTCATATGGTACTTGCGCAAGAGGCTCAAGCTTCAGGACACAGACAGCGTCTTTTGCTATGTCAATGACTCTTTTGCCCCTTCTCTCGATGAGATTGTTGGTAACTTGCACAGCGTGAGTTCAGGAAGCAGATAGTACAGGCACAAATGCAAATGCTGACATGCTTGCAACAGTGTTTCAAAGATTCAAGCGGTCAGCTTGTGATTTCTTATGCTATGAATCCAGCCTTTGGCTGAGATTAAGTACGCTATTACGTGGTATACTAAGGCTGAACAACGATGAAAATCCCTCCGCCCTCTAGACTCCCAAACACCGGTAATGCAGCACGAAAGCAACGCAAGGCGATGGTCTATTAGCCACTGAACGCAGACAACTCCTCACAACTTTTCCAGCGCGCTTGTAAACTCGTCAAGCGCCTCCTTGGAAATGGGATAGGTGTGCTCCGGGGCAGGATACTGTCGGCTCTTAACCTCGTCCCGGTAGGTCTCGATGGCACGAAGACTCTCGCTCCAGACGTCGCCATACTTCTTGACGAACTTTGGCAGAAATCGGCCGGGAGGGAAGTTTCCGGTCATGTCGACCTGCACCAATACCTGGCCGGAGCAGCCATTACCAGCACCGATACCAATGGTTGGGACAGACAGCTTTTCCGTTACAAGTGCTGCGACTTCAGCTGGGACAGCCTCAATGACCATGGCGAAAGCGCCGGCCTCTTGCACGGCGAGTGCATCCTCAAGGAGCCTGAGAGCCCCGTCGGAAGTCTTGCCTTGGACTCTGAAGCCGCCAAGGGCGTTCTGCCGTTGCGGTGTCAGTCCCACATGCGCGAGAACAGGAATGCCCGCGGATGTGATCTTCTGGATCGTGGGGGCCATCTCCTTGCCGCCCTCGAGCTTGATGCCTTGCACCCGGCCCTCTTTGACGAAGCGGATGGCAGTTTCCAGAGCCTGTTCCGGGGCTATCTCATAGCTACCCATGGGCAAATCGCCAATCTAAAATAGGATCAGTACGATCTTTGCAGGCTTGATTTAGAGTAGACTTACAGTAAATGCGGACTTGGTAGCTCTTGAAACAGAACGGCAATGAAGCAGCATTTCCTCTACCACAACCTCGCTCGTGTCTTCCATACCAAGTGCGACCATGGCCAGGCTGTCGCCTACAAGGATAATATCCATGCCAGCATGGTCGGCAACGTGGGCACTGGGGAAGTCGTGCGCAGTCATGACTGTGATTGGCTCGCGCTTCTTGTATAGACTGCGCAAAGAACCAAGTGTGACTTTCTTTCTTTGGTTTGCAGAAGTTGTACCCATGGGGGAATGCGAGCTGTGACGCATTTGCAATGGTTGCATTACAGCGGAATACGTGGGTCGCATCAGAGACGCTGCTGTTGAGGGTCGCGTGCTTCTCAGTAGAGAGGCACACGACCTCAGACAGGTACTTCGGATTGTATGGAGAGACATATGGGCAAGTAAGTACCTTGTTGTCTTTTATAAGAAGTAAACGTATGAAGGGAGTATGCAAGTGCAGGAAAAAAGAAAATGCAAAGATGCAAATTTGATGGTATTGATGCGGATGTTGTACGTGTGGGGAGAAAGGATTAAAACAAGTTTGCGTTGAAGGGCGAAGCGCAATCTTTTATTATCCAAGTCATGATGGTTTTTGCTGCGTAGAATTGAGTATCTCCAAAAATTACCAGTGGTGTTTCGTTCCCGCCGCTGGGGGTAGAGATGGGAAAAGCGGGTCAATCTCACAAGCTGACCACACAGGTGCGGTGCTGGACGCTTCGCTGGGAAAGTGCCCCAAGTAACGGTGTCCGGTCCACCTGCGACCAACCTCCGTGATTGGACGAGGCGCCGAGGCACGTTCGGTGCGCGCCCCCCTTTACAGTCCATGGCCGCCTCTCCGATACGTACCTTTTGATCTGAGAAGGGATTAGTGAGCTGTGCTGCGCTCTATCCAACCTAAGGTATCATCCTCCCTAGGGCGCCAGTACGACACTGATCCTCTCAGGGCCATGGTGCTGAGGTAAGTTAGCTAAGACCGAGGCAGAGTTGCCTCGGGCCCGGCGGTTTCTGATCTCGGCCCTCCGCAAGGACGGGCATTGGGATGTCCAAGGTTTCCCTTGGCCCAGATCGGCAAAGGGCAAGCTGACTACGAAGTAGCGAACCCGAAGCTTGGGATGATGGCGCTCGCGTGACTTGACTTTTTTAAGTCTATTATTGTTGGTTTCGCCGCGATTCTGACCAACTGACACCGCTTGTACTGCGTGTGAGATGGATCCCCACATAGAAGGAAGTGACGGACGGCCTGCATCACGGATAGCCCCCCCTCCCCTTCCCATAAGAAGAGGGCGTCTCCTTCCTGGCTCGTGACAGCGTGTAACCTTGCCCACCACTTCACTTCAGTCCATCCGATTTGTGCTTGCATGGGACAATGGGTTATTCCTTGTAGAAATGTATCAAGGGATCTTGCAAGCAGGCGACGTCGTTGAACGGAACGGCCCTCATGGCACTGGTCTGTAATACAGCCTCAGGGACTTACATCATTCTTGCAAACTTTGTTGGTCGGAACTGCCGGTGTCTGTTGGCTGATCTGGCTCTGAATGTCCGAGGTGAGTTTGGTTCAACTAGAACCCGGCGCATGTAGCCTGGAGCAAGACTGGATACAGTTACAGAATCCGAGTAAAGGGTGAATATATCTAAAGGAAATCTTCCTTGAAAGTAACGGTGGCTTTGCAGGCAGTCCTTCGATAGTCGCGGGATACATTACTTTTGCAATATCGGCTTTCGGTTTCGACATTGTTCCTCTGAGATGAATCAAGCTTGCATTGTCCTGCATTGTCTTAGTCATGTAAAAGCCCCAAGGGCAGGTGGGGAGTGGGCACTTACTTACAACGAGGAAGCCTGGGTGGCTGGCAAGATCCGCGCCTAGCCGCCTAATCCTCGGGCCCACTTCTCCTTATCGTTGCACTTATCAGTCATGGTCCGGGATCGCCCACATCATCATTGCGCGTGACTTGGCGTCAGGAACCCGATCCGACCTTCTCCTCCTCTCTGTAACCACCCATTGCACTCCTCACGATTCTGGACCAATACCAAGCAACATCACGAATAGGAAACGACCTTTGGAAGCCCCTTGGCGAAATCTCTTATATACGGGGACTTCCACTCCAACATCGAACCAGTCTTCCCCCGCAATCCGTTTACATCAGCGTTACCCCATCGAATCGCCGTCCTCCAAACACCCCGCGCGCAACCAACAAGATGAGCAGCCCACGCAGAAGAATCGAGACTGATGTAAGTCTATAATGCTACCAGAGCCTTTGGATGATAACGGTGCAGCAAGCTCACACGTCTGTCTTTTGTCTAGGTCATGAAGTAAAAGCGCCCTGAGTCACGCCATACCTTTGACAACCTGCTAACCTCACGCAGGATGTGCGATTTCCCGACAAACCACCTTTTGCTTGATATACTGACCCTTGTAGGTTGATGAGTGACTACGAGGTTACTCTGGTGAACGACAACAGTATGTCACTCTCCTAGCCTGACTCTAGAGCTGTTGCGACTAACACCCCGCCAAGTGTAAGACTCAGATCCATTCAACGACATCCTCCGATCCTAACCCCACCACCCAGGCAAGAGTTCTATGTTAGATTCAAGGGTCCTACCGAGAGTCGGTTCAACCCATACTCACGCATCAGTTCACTATGCTTATTCTCTGCAGCTCCTTTCGAAGGCGGTGTCTGGAAGGTTCATGTCGAGCTTCCTGACCAATACCCCTATAAGTCACCGAGTATCGGATTTGTTAATCGCATCTTCCACCCCAACATCGACGAGCTGTGAGTAGAGGATACCCGAACGAGACACATTTAGACGAACAAGCGGTTCGAGAGAAACAAAACAGAGCAAGGAGCTGATCCGGGGAAATGCGTAGATCGGGCTCCGTCTGCCTGGATGTCATTAACCAGACTTGGTCGCCCATGTTTGACATGATCAACATCTTCGAGGTCTTCTTGCCTCAGCTTCTTCGATACCCGAACCCGACGGACCCCCTGAATGGCGAGGCGGCTGCCCTGATGATAAGAGAACCCAAGAGCTACGACGCCAAAGTCAAGGGTGCGTAAACACATTAGTAGGCCGAAAGGGGTTGGCATAGGGTGCTAACAACGAGCCTCAGAGTACGTCCAGAAGTACGCGAGCAAAGATGCCGCCGACGAAGCTGGTGCCGAGAGCGAAGACGACGACGACATGTCATCCGTTGGCAGCTTCGGCGACGATGACGAGGAACCCGCCGGCCGACTCGACGATGTATGAAGTGCACTCGGGAACTTGAAAGGAAACACGGCTAGAGAGAGCATTCATGGAAATGGCGTCGCAGGAGACTTATATTCCCCGGCTTGTGATTGGACTTGGTATTCTGGAACCCTACTTAACGTGATCCTACTGAAGGGCATTCGTCCTCAGCAGTGATTAGCCGCGAGGCCGGGATTCTGCTGTCTTTCTGTGTTTTAGGGGCCAGGCAAAGGCATTTTATGGGAATCGGCTTTGGAGTTTTCACATGAGACAATCGCGGGTAGGATGGGGACTTGATTATGATGATGACCATTGCTCAAGAGGAGAGACGTTAACGGCCGATGGAGACGACGTGGGCATGCAAAGCATACATACCACCCCAGATTGGATTCCAATTTGCTCGATCAACTCGGACCATTGGCTCTAGGAGCTATTAGATAGTCGATAACAGTCATGTAAACAGCAAGCAATGTCCTCTGTGACTCCTTGTGGCGTGTTTTGGATTTTTGGGGAATACGATGTGAAGAAGCAACCTAGAGGGAATGTGCCAAATTGCACCCGGGATATGGTAGATGACTATGTAGGGGGGCTGAGTTAGCGTATTCTGACGAATATCACTTGAGAAAAGCACAAGCGCTTGAGCATCATCAACCAAGAAAGCTTCTCTTGCAAACGTGAATTAACGCCATCGCGATGTCTGGGTATCTCTGATCTAATCCGTATCCCTTTCCCCCCAAAACGCCAAAGCCAAAAAAGGAAGTGTACCTAACCCCCCCGCGAGGAGTGCATAAAATCAAAAGACCCTCAATCCGAGTCTGAATCGTAGGCCACGAGGGACTTTGACGATGGCGTGCTCTGCCCGGGCTCCGTGGCCTTGAGCAACTCCTGTTTTTGCACACCATCCTCATCACGCCTCCTCTTTAACCCGGGGATCCTCAGCGCCGACGACCTCTCCGCCTTGCTCTCGACCAGGAACGGATCCCTCGCCATGCGCGTGTTCCCGACAATCTCGGAGACGATGGTATCCCTCCTCTTGGAAGCGAGGACCTCGGCCTTGGGCGTTCCCTTGGGCAGTAGCACCGCCTTACCAGTCGTCGTCCTCGTTGACTTTTTAGCTTTGCCATCCTTCACCGAAGCAGAAGGCGCAGACAAAGACGAAGAAGACGACACGAAAAGAGGCTTCTTAAAAGCCTTCACTCCCGCCTCGTCAACTCCCTCCCCCACACCCCCGAAATCAACCAACCTCGCCCGGCGCACATCCTCCTCCGTCTCCGGCACCAGCTCGATCCCCAAACTCATCTTTTCTTTCAGGGCTTCGCCTACAGCAGCGTCCTTTTCACGCTGGTGCCTTCCCTCGCGGAACGTCGCGCGGAGGGCCTTATTGCGGGTATACGGATCATCCCAAGCCCGGCTCGCAGCATCCTGCAACTCGTCGATGCGTTCCGTCGCCTGCGCGAGCTGTTGTCTGTCCTCGATTGTTTTTTCGAGCGAGGCAAAAGCGTTGCTCCTAAGCTTCTCACGTTCCTCTTCCGTGAGGATGGCAGGCATCTCCCCTTCCTGCGGTGTTCTTCCCTCCTCGCCCGTATCCCTCTTCTTCGCGCCCGAGACGACAACATACGCAGTATTCTTGGGATCCGTGTGAATCTCAATCCACCCGCCGCAGTCGGCGTGCTTCATGCGAAATTGCCATATCGCAGACGTGAAGTAGGACCCGACGCGCTTCTTCTCGGCGTTGAAGCGGACGCCTTGGCCTATGATTGTGGGTTTGGGACAGGTGGCGCACCAGATGGCGAAGGGCATTTCGAAGCGGACGACGAGGATGCCGGGTTTGGCGGCGCGAGCGCCGAGGGGGTGTTTGCGGTTGAGTTTGTTGCCGGTTGTTGTGCCTTCTTGGTCTGGCGGGACGTAGCGTCCCATGTTGAAGCCTTGCATTTTGGGCGAAGGGGGGGAGAGGGAGGAGGTGGTGGAAGAGCTACGATGAGATTCGTGGGGGAGGTCGTGGGAGGTTGGCTGGTCGTGGGTGTGATCGAGGTTGAAGATCGTGGACGGCCCGCGACGGTGATGTCTTTTCGGAGGGGTGGGCTTTTTGGTTAAGTCGCGGCGGAGATGGGTTCCGAGGCGGGACGGGGATGGTTTTTGTATGAAGGTGGGATTTCGGAGATGGTGGGGGTTTCGTTGCGCCGCTTCCTTGAACTTTTGGCGCCGGGGGTGTAGCGGGGCATCCGGGGACAGCGGGATTATGTAATGAGGCCTAGACAAGGTACCTTAGAATACCATATCATGTTCCAGACACCATCGTTGGCCTCACTTTTATTTACACGTTGGAATTCTAGGCTGTATGTCTCTCAAAGACTCTAATCATACCTTCGTGTCCATGACCATATGATCCAAAGCTGGATCTTCATGTGCCGTGTTAGCCGTCCCGAGTAGCATCGGCCGCATCATCACGCACTTGCCCCATATGCACCTCGCACTCAAAGAGGTCGTTCGTCGTAATTGCACCTTCTCTTGGTGTCACGCGAGCCCCAAAAACCGCGATATTGGCCTCTTTCTTGTTTCGATATCTTGCCTAAGGCCGATGATTTCCGGCTCTCATTTCACAGGACGAGGAATGCTGACGACATGAGGGTAATTGTTGCCAGTCGTTAAGGCGAGGCTGATGGCTACCATGTCACCATCGATTGCGTGATTCGGCCCGAGTGCATGAGTTGTCTGGCATACTTGAGAGCGCTGGTTTCCCGCCGTTTTGTAGCGGCTCAAAACATCCCAATGTTGTCTGTCTCCTCCTGTCCTCGATTCTAACTTGCTTGGTTTAGCTTTGCGCCGTTTCACTATCTACCCCTTTCCTCGAGTTTCCACATGTCACTCGTGATATCCTTGTTCAGCCTGGCCGGCTAGGCAAGACATCAAGGTAGACAAGCACTCAAGGTATGTAAACTGAGATCATCGCAAGACATCAAGGTGTATATAATTTCATCCAAAAAGCTCTGTAATCTATGCTAGTATGTAAAAGGTATGGATCGCTCAACCTCCAAAAAAAAAACTCTAAAAAACTCTACGACTTTGCTTCCCGCTCAATAATGGACGGTAAATATCCTTCCCGAGAGTCTTGCGCCGACACCGAGTGAATCGCGCTGGGTTCCCCTTCTCGCATCATCGATCCCGACCCAAAAGCAAAAAAAAGTCCGAAATATCATCAATGAGGTCGTGACCGGCGGGCTTTGCTCCTTCCTCCCGGCTTTCCGTCATGGCCTTCATACAGCCCGCCGCCCATCGACCAGTGGTATCCTGCAGATCATGATGCAATCCCAAAAAATTCTCCAAGCAGGAGAAAAGCTTCCTTTCCTTGAGAGGCATCTCCCGCTTGAGCGAGTCTTCGTCTCTTCATGCTGTCATTATTCCTCCATTTACAGCTTCGGCGATGGTCCATTCATCGCTGCTGCACTTTACTCTCTTCATTCAGCCAAACCTGCCATACCCGACGTCGGGGCGAAAGTCTCGTACATCTCGTCATCGCTGCTGTCCACGCTGAGTGGGCTCTGAGCGTTGCTCACGTCGGCACTGGGCAGCCCGCTGAACCCTCCTAGGCTCATGGTGGCCGGCGCGCTCTGCCCAAGGGAAAGCAAGCCGTTGTTGGCAAAGCTGCTGCTAATGCTGCCAAGCCCAATATCCACCACACTTCCGCTGCGGCTCATCGAAGGTTTCTCCGGAAGTTTCTTGAGGAGGCCGGTCGAAATATCGAGCATCGTCATAGCAAACATGGTGAGACCTTTGCCTTCGCCAGGTTTCGAGCTCACGGATAATGTCCAGCGATATTCACCCAAGCGCCTGCGGTACCAATCGGCTTCCTCCCTGCCAGGGGATGTTGCCCAGAGAAGGGAACCAAATGTTCCGATGAGGGCAAAATTGGTCTTGGACGCAAAGTACCAGAAGGATCGGAGGTGGGAGGTATTCAGACGGTTGACAAAGTCCATGGCAGAGATCAGGCGAGCCTTGGCCGCGCTTCGGCAAATGTGCTGAACGTAAGAATCAACAGCCGAACCGGTAGCTTCGAGCGAACGAATAATACGGCGATGGAGTGTGATTTCGGCGGCGAAGTAGGCAAGGTGGAGGTACCCGATACTTGACAAACGACCTGACGGCGCAGAGATCGAAGAATACGTGCTGTCCATGCGGATGGCTGCCGGCAAACTGGCATACCACTCCTTGAGCTTCAGTTGGATGGGCTTCGCCATGCCCAGAACCATATGTGTGCCTTGCCCGCCGGCGTTGGTGACGTTTTGCATGGCCTGCAGTGAGTAGAACGTATCGAGAATTTCGGCAAGAATCTGCGATAATTGTACCATCTGACCAAACAATATGCGACCGCGTTCGATATCCAGCTTCTCCTCCACGTCCTTCTCATCCCACTCGACATCGGGAAAGTCGTGATCCGTAAGCGGTTGAACCCCCCAGTTGGTGGAGAAAATGTGCGACGGCCGCCCATGAACGAGGGAACCCCATTTGTCTTGCATATACAAGGCCCAGGCGAGGCGTTTCCGCAATCCCTTCTCCCAAGGTGGGATCTTCCAGTGCGTACAATCGAGATGGAGGCCAAGCTCCTGGGCAGTGGCGACGAGCTGGGCAGTCGGAGCCCACTGGTCGCCCTCAGGTCGCTGTGAGAGAAGGAGACCAGCCTGGATGGTGGACAGTTTCGGGCGGTAAATTGCGTCGGCGAGGGTTGTCCGGATCATTCGTTCGAGATTAGGAATGTTTGGTCGAGGAAGTCGCGCAAGCTCTTCATCGTGCTCCCACCAGTTGATGGCGAACAGATAAACAGCAGCTAGTAGGCAAGGCGAAAATTCGCGGTAACTACGCTCGTACTTCTCCAAGAAGACGGTCTTCTGAATAATCGGGAAGGCAGGGTGAACGATGCGGAAATACAAGTCTACCAACTTGCGACCATGTGGCCGCACAAGACCCTCAATCTCCTCGATATCCTCGAGGATGTGCTCATGGCCGGGCGTGTTGGAATCTGGTAGTAGCAGGAACGTGTCATCGTCACTGACCTTGCGCAGAGTGCCGCGCGCCAGTAGACTCTCATCCTGGGGGTTGAAGGGTGAGAGGTTGATGAGAGAAGGCTCGAAGTCAGTCGTCGGTCCTATATACTGACTGTAGCGATCATTTTGGAGACCCAGCGTCCGCTTGAGCAGAGTCGGGCCTCCGACATTCGCCATGTCTTCGAGAAAAGAGCTGCTTCCTGTGGTGCTGGAGAGGCTGGGCTGATGTTGCCTTCGCCTTCTGATATCGGCTCTAGCTGGTGAACTAATAGACCAATCACGTGTCAGAGATTAAGGTTCGTTATCAGACGTGCCCCCCTGACCGCGGCGTGCCCCCATGGCTGCCCAAGAAACATCAAACGGGCGCAAAATGCAAGCTCAAGCGGAAGCGAGCCAGGCTGGCGGGGGAGGAAGCAGTAGGGAGACGGACTCGTCAGTGTGAGGGGAGAAAAAGGGCGGGGAGCAGTAGGTAGCGTGGGAGCAGGATTGAGAGTGAGAGTGGAAGCATGAGAAGAGGGGAAATCGAGCAGACTGACCTTCTTTTACCACTGTCGTCAAAATCACCGTTCAGCTTGCGTTTCCTTGGCTGGGGACTGTTGAGCAGGGAACAATCGGATCCGCTAGCCTGGCAAGGTATGCAGCTATCTTCGTCTTCGCTCACGATACACTTGACCCTGGACCGTTGGCAGGATTCACATGGGCTGAGTGAACGTGTGGTGTATGAGCCAACAGACTCTGCGATTTCCCGTCCAGGCATGCTGCCGCCGCGGAAAAGTTCGAGGTTCGTGAATGCCTCCTGGAGATAAGAGTTCTGGCGGCGGGGAGGCTTTGGTGCGATGGCGATGGGAGCCGTCCTAGTGACGGCACTTGGATTGGACATGATGGATAAGTAAGGCGCGGCAGTAGAGACAAAGCTATGTATATACGGATACAGGCAGGGCTGGGCCGACGCAGGGGAAGTAGACGGGCGGACGGACCCGGTTCGTCAAGTCGGGGTCCCGGGGCCCTTGTCTGGAGATTGGGGGAATGAAGCGGGCGTGAATTTACACCTAGGGTTAACCGGAGATATGACAACGGTGATAGGACGATAGGCTTCGTCAAAGGCCAAGGAAGCAGACGGGAGAGGCTGGCACACTCCCCGGTATGGAAGCTGGTTCAACGAGCCCCACGGCGTGCAGCAGATGGGATGCGAAGCAAGTGATGCAATGTGCGTCGTTGGCTTGATTCTGGTCCTGGGCTTGATGCTGGGGATGGGCCGCCACTCAAGATCGACGGCAGAAAAATAAGAATATCTGTGGCCGAGTTGACGTGAGATTTGAGAATTGTGTGCGTAGCACCAATGCAGGATCCGCCAAATCAGATTGGCTGGCGAGTGGTAATTCGATCTTGATGAATTCCTATGGGTGAGCCTGTGTTGTAACACGAAACAGCAGACGGGCCACCACAGGGACTGGACTGATAACGCTACGGTGCGCCGAGGCCGGTTGAGATAAGACGGGCGTGTTGGAGGCGGCAGCGGGCAAAGATCAGGTACGCCAACAGACGGACAACGGCCGGTAGCGATTGCGAGGTTTGACGTGAGATGAACGGGGGGCCTGGATGCTTCGAGGCTAGACGAGGTGGAACAAAGACACGAGAAGACTATGTGTTCCTAAGGCCTAAAGGGAAAGCTGATAGGTATCCGTCCGAGTAGTGAGGCGCGTTGTGTCGCGTGCGAGGGGTACAAGATAAGCCGACAACGGGAATTAAGAGCGGGATACTCTGTAAAAGGTAGGCCGTTCCAGAGACTCGAGAGTACCGTACTTGTCTGTGTGTTGAGTTTGTGTGGTGGTTCCTCGTCAAGATCTGGGGTGGGATGTAGAAGTCCGAGGGGGCGCGGTGCGGTCGCGGCTT